ACTGGTCTTCCAGGCTGAGGCTGGAAGATCGATTAAAGACTGAGGCCAGCCTAAACTACAGAGTGAGATCCTGCCTCAAAAAGATAAACAGATAAGCACCATAGATGGAGTTAAGATTACTTTTAACTGTATTCTAAAAGAATGGAATTTACAAAGGATGTTAAAAGCATTCTGGCTTAAGTGTTTTTTTTTTTTTTTTTTTTTTTTTTTTTTTTTTTTTGCTGGGGTGTAAGGTAGAGCTATTTCAGAATGTTCTGGAAGACATATGCATTTATTTCCTAATGTGGAGCAAATTATGTGTAAATGTTTACATTTCCAACAAAACCCATCAAGTGGCGTTTATTTGCCTAACATTTATACATCATTGTCAGTAAATTTTAGATTTCCCTTTGTCGAAGCTGGAGAGAAAAAGTTTTTTAAATTGTGTGCCTCCAAATTACGAAAACTGTAATTTCTATGAAATAAGGCATCTGAATAAAGCGAAACTCATTGTTATAAACATACGCTGTAGGCACAAACTGAAAACGTATTACTACGAATTCCTTGGTAGGTACCTATTTTGAAACTTGGTACGTATTTACATTAAGTCAAACATTAAAGGCAAGGCCGTGTTAGGGAATTTTAGGTCTCAGCATGCAGCTGTACTGGGGGAAAATTTTGTTGTCGCTGTCCTTATTTGAAACAAGGTCTTGCCATATTTCAGAACGGATGTTGCTGCCTCTGCCTCCCGAGTGCTCGGCGCGCTACCAGGCCAGGCAATGCGCCACAAGATTCCCAAAATGTCAAGGCATCGGGACAAAGTGAGGATTCCAGGATCCAGGGCCTTCGCGTTGCAGAAGGCCGAGTGGTGCACTGCGGGGCTCGGAGGGTCCCCAAGCGGCGCGTGACCAGCGGGGAGCTCGGCTTTCGCGGTCTCTAACCAACGCGGAACGCCTGCACCCCTCTCTGGCCGACCAAACGGAGAGGGCAGCAGGGGCCCCTCGGGTCCCCACCGTGGCCGCGTCCCTCGCCTCCCGCCCGCTAGCCCAAAGCCTACGACGCCTGGCTTAGGCCCCCGCCCGCGGACCCGGGCAGCCAGGACGCGCGAAGCACGGCAGGTCCAGCCGGCCCGGCGGCCCGCGTCTCGGAAAGGTCACTCACAGGGCAGGGCGGCCGCCCCGCCGCGCCGGAGAGCAAGGGAAGAACGCCGCGCGCGGAGGAGCGAGGAACTTACGCTGGGATGCTTCTTGGCCTGGGCGACGATCTGGCGGAGCATGTTTGCGGTAGCAGCCTGCAGCCCAAATGGACGAAAACGAACCCGTCGGTCTAGACTAAGCCGTCACCCTCGCCGGGCTGTGAGGACGTCCAAAGTCACCCGGCACCTCCTGCCTGAAGGACCCCTGGCGGGGCTGCGGGGGCTGCGGCAGGAGGGCTCGGCTGCGGCTGTCCTGCACACTGCCTGCGGCGACCCAGCGTCACACCCGCCCTAACCTGGCCCGACCGTCACCATTCCATGGCATTCCAAAGCGAAACAGCCTTCATGCTTGTACTAAGTTAATTTCTGAACAATACTTTCCGCGCCCCCCGCCCCAAAACCAGAGCCCTTTTATTGACCAGACAGGCATGTCTCCGGGAGCCCCCACGCTGAGGCCCGGGGTCTCGCGGGTGACCGGCGGCGCGCTCGGGGGCGGGGCCTGAGGTGTTGATGGCCGCGGAGGGACCGGCGCGGCGCCTCGGGCTGCCGCCGCCGGGCCCCTGGAGGCCAGCTCGGGTCTCCCGCCGCTGAGGTCAGCAGCTGCGGTCGGAAAGTCCTGCAGCTGCTTTCTGTCAACGCTGCCGCTCGCGGGCAAAGGCTAAAAACTACTAAATGCCTTAAAGATGACAGTAGCCGCAGGCCTTGTCCCTGTGTCGAGCGTGCGGCGCAGTACGCAGCTCCGACCTGTGCTTCTCAGTGACTGCTTGTGGGTCTTGGTGGCTTCCTTCACGATGTCGGCAGTGTACATTAAATACCCGAAGCGCTTTCTGTGCAGAATTTAATAAATACTAAACAGAGAGTCTGTAGCCATTTTAAATTGTAGTTTTTCCCTGAAACGTGGTTACATAATGTAACAGCGATGTGTTTGTAGCTTTTAGAGTATAGAACCCAGAGCCTGGCCCTCTGAAGTGTGCGCTCGCCTTTGTACGTTATGCATGCTGTTCTTGTCAATGCTGCCATTCTTACCTCTTCAACTTCTATCTTTTCATAGATACAAAAGGACTTCACATGTAGATGCAGACAAATTGCAAAAGTAGCTGTGTGGTTGTACTGTACTACCATTTTAAGGTAACTTTAAAATAGTTTCTTTACTGTGTGTGTGTGTGTGTGTGTGTGTGTGTGTGCGCGCTACAGCTGAGTAGGCCAATAATAGTCCAGGGTCTCCTATACAAGTGAAGACTTGGTAAGTGTACTCCTCTTGGTATGTAGCTGTGTTTATTAATGATCACAAGATGGTAGCAGCAAGTACAGGCAAAAGGGTAAAGCAAAAAAGAACCGGGCTTGATAATTCAGGCTTCCAGTATTAAAGGGTCAACCAACTCTGATCTAGGTGTCTCTCACTTTCTCTGATGTCAGCCATCTGCCTCTTCAGTGTAAGCCTGGGTAATCATAATGTGTGTATTTATGGTTGAAGGGAGAGTGGGGAAGTGCCTCACAGGACTTCTTTGCTTTAGTATTGTGGAAGCACGGATTATCGATAGGGTGGTGTGGTGGAGAGAACAGGGTCACTGAGGTCCTTTGTTTCTAACTGTACTAGGTGTGCTTGGTTTTTTACACTTTACATTGTGTATTTGTGTTAAAGGTATATATGACTCTGAGACTTATGACTCAATCTGACTTACGAATATTCTGAATTAAGCTCATTAATAAGTAAGTCAGAGACTTAGTACATTTTAATCACATCAAGCAAAGACATTCAAAAAAGACTTCTACCAGTACTTCAGAAAGTGGCAAGGACAACGGGATAAATGTTTTAGAAGAGAGGGGATGATTTTAAGGGAGGAGTAGTGTCATGATGTCTTTTATTGAAATAATTTTTTAAATCAAAATAATTTGATCATATCTTGTTAGTCAAGTGATCCCTTTGGAAATATTAACAAATGAGGATTATGGAAATGTAAATTTTAATAAAAATTAACCAACACATCAAATCATAAACGTTCAAATTTTGCACATTAAACTCTAGGAAAAGAGTGTATGACCTAGGGGGCTGGTGAGATAGCTCAGTAGAATAAGTGCATGCCAGGTAAGCACCAAGGTCCTGAGTTTGATCCCTGGTACCACCAAAAATAAAAGTATATGACTGTTGTGCTTTGTGTACAGTTGTTCCCCCCCCCCCAAGCCTCATGCAGTCTTGTGCTTTGTGTACAGTTCCCCCCGCCCCCAAAAGCCTCATGCAGTCTTGGGGCAGCTTCTGGAGTTCGTGATTGATTATTGTGGGTGTGAATGCTGCACCTGTCCTGGGGCAGATAATTTGCGTTGTAATGTCAATTGGGAAGAGAAGCTCACCTCTTGAGCTGCTGCTGCTCCTCCCTTTGCTCTTGGTCTTTGCCACCACCACGAAAGGTTGCTTTCTGCTATGTTTCATGGTGCCTTGGAGCCAGCTGAGTATGGACTGAAATCTCTAGTAACTATGAACTAAATAAACCTTTCCTTCCTTCAGTTTGGGTGTTGGGTATTTGTCCCAGCAGTGAGAGAAGAGTAAGATGATGACCTGTATTTTAAGCAGGCTTGGGTAGAATAGAGGTGAGAGTCTAGAAAAGCCATAGCACAGGAAACATAATAGAGAAGCTTTTTTTTTTTTTTTTTATCAATGAGCTTCAAAAAGAAGAAAAGAATGTGTGATTGTATTGTAAAGAAATACCTGCTGCCCAAAGGAGATATCATTTACTTGATTCACTAATATGAGGCTGGATATTTTGTCTCGATTTATTAGTAAATGCGACATGAGAAATAAAGTGTGCAGAAGCAGAAATTTAAAGAGCTTACATCTGTCATCTTCTGCTTTTCCCTCTGTTACAAGATGAGGAAGTGTTTTGCATGGCACATGCCTGTAATCCCAGCACCTGGGACACTGAGGCAGGAGGATTGCCCCAAGTTTGAAGCCAGCTTGGGCTACAAAGTGAGTTTAAGGCCAGCCTGAACTGCATGGTAAAACCCTGTCTCAAAAAAATTTAAAGAAGAAGAGAGAGGAGGAGAAGAGGGAAGGGAGGAGGAGTGTTTTAGACTGAAGCTACTATATCATTTCAGGTATTAAAGTGAGAACTACTTAGAGCAGCCATTGCTGACCTGCAGTGGGCATGTGCTGAGAAAGAGGAATGAATACTGATTATGGGTGATCATCAGTAGTGCTCTGTTATTGTGGCATAGTATAATTCAAGGGGAATCGTGGTGTGGCCATTGGTGTAGAGTTGACTGAAATCCACCAGAAGAGGAATATATCACGTAGTCCTAAACAGTCTGTGACTATTTGAGATGAGAAATAACTGTGGGCCTCCAGATCTTCAGAAGGTAACCTGCAGATAAATAGATATGCTCGTTTCCCTAGTCTCTAATGTCCTCCTTAGATGGATTTGAGGTAAGATTCCCAAAAGGTGAAGTAAGAGCCACAGAAAAGAGTTGAAATAATCTGTCAGGTAGCAAAACTAGGAGCCATCCAGGAGCTATTCTCTATCCACTGTCAGCAGAACTTCTGCCTAGTGAAATATCAGAGCCAGCCCGTATCTCCCATCCTTTTCTCTTTCTAGATAAGATCCTTGATAGTAGTTTTTAATTCTCATTTCAGCTGTTGTGTTTTTGGTGTCCTTTTGCAGATAGCTGATGGTTGTTACTGTGTACATCTCCAGACCAAGAGGAGACAGGCTGCATAGATGTAGAGCTTTTTTCCATAAATCATAGACTTTGAGTTAAAAATAATGATATTAGAACTTTTAGGATTTCTCCTGTAATGAATGTATTTTGAGAGAGGAAAAGAGAGACCTGAATGGCTGTAATCAGAAGGGCAGACTCTGCTGGATTTTATTGTTGACATCTTTAAGATTTTGCAGGGGTTAGATTCTATTTTATTTCCCTGCTGATGTCATGGCTGCCCAGGTGACGTAATTTATGCAGTGGAGGACATAAAAGTAAACATAGATAATGCAGAGAGAATTAAGACTGTAGGGTACGTGGAGAACTTACAAGAAGACTGTGACCTTGCGTTCGCCTACGCAGAATGACAAGGCCTAAAGAGGGAGCACAGATCCCGTGTGGATAGAGCAGCCTGCAGAAAGCAGGGGTAAGGAAAGCTCACAGTGTTCAGGTAGAGGGTGTGAAAAAAAATTGAGTTCAGTGTGTTGGCTGGAAGCAAAGGAAATGTGAGAGATGAAATTGAAAACACTAACCCTGATTTTTGAGAAATTGAGATCTGAGATTTTATAAATTAGGAAAGTTTTACATCTGAACACAGAATACAACAACTACAGGCTGTAAGATTTTAATTAATAAATTACCGAGAGCTTTTAGTAGCCCACTCTGAGATTTGTACCTTCTGTTTAATTTTGCTTCTTTGTTTAATTTTGTAAAAAGTTAACATAAAATATATAAGAGTTGTCCAGATTATATGTACATTATTTGGTGCATAGATCTAAAACATCTATGTGGCTTACCTAGATACCATGACGAAGTATTCCTCTTGCATAGTTTCCCTAAATACTCAGGCCCAGAGAACTCTAGGAGTGTTGTTAATAATGTATGACAGTAAAGAAATAGCTTCTTTTGACAGAAATGATTTGGCAAGTGAGCCATGGAGTACAATTATATTAAGGTAAATTGAAGACCGTATCTTATATTTTTATTCTGTTTGCATTTAGCCTTTTAATTATTTTTTCTATTAGATAAATTGACAACTGGAGCTATTTTTCTGATAGCACAAATGCAAATTATGTCTTCACTTGTTAATAATGACCCTGCAGCTACCCGTAATCTAAAAACAAACATGTGCTTCTACTGGCATGATTATTTAGCATAAACTATAATTAATTATACAATTTCTATTATAAAAATGGAAACGTTATTGGTCTATGAAAATTTACTTCCACTGTTGTTAATCTCAGAGCTTCACTGTCATTAGTTTAAATACTTGAAGCACAAAATTTAATAAGTGTAAAGATCAGAGAGTCTGTAGCCATTTTAAATAGTAGTATTTATTTTCACTAAAATGTGGTTTCATGATTTTTAACAAAAATATGTTTGCAGTTTTTAGAATATAATATCAAAGTCTTAGATCTTTGAAGTACAGTATATCAGCCTTTTGGATTATGTGTCTTATTCTTCATCTATGCTACTATTCATTATCTGTCTTCAATTTTTGTTTTTTGT